TGAGGCCAGCTGACATCACATCTCTTAAATCATAATGGAGGAAACTACAGGTCAGTTAGTCTTACCTTGATCCTGGGGAAGCTTTTTGAGAGAATTATCATAGAGCATGTCCATGAGGGGCCAGCAGGGGAGATTACGCTTAGGGGCAACCAACACTGGTTCATTAGAGGCAGGTCCCGTCAGACTGTGGCAGGGCGCCCTTAGGGGTGCCGTGACCTCCCCTAGCGCCCCTACCTACCGTGCCCAATCGGGTCCCGAACGCACCCTCTCTCTCGCCCGCCACGTCTTGCTGGTAAATATCAAAGGGAGGCTACCTTCCTGCCCTCCTTGGCACGGGGTCTGTCTTGCTGTACCGGGACTCTGGTCCAGTTGCCTGCCTGCGCCCGCATGGGTGGCCCCCTCGCTTCTCTCGCGGCCCTCGCCACACCAGGCCTGTCTCCTGTGCTCTCGCCCACACTAGGACCTATCTCCTGGACTCTCGTACCCCTGGATGTCCGCTCCTAGGGCTCCTCAATGTACGTGCCTCCTTGCCTCTCTCGCACCTCCCGGGGCCTGCCCAATATACTCATCCCCTTCTGGGGCCTCTCAATGTACATGCCCTCTCTCGGGGCCTCCCAATAAACTTGCCCCCTTTTGGGCCTTCTCCCGTACAGACAGTGCCCCACCGGGGCCTGTGCCTCGCACTCCCCGCCCCCCACCGGGGCTTTGCTCGCAACAGGGCTTAGGCAGCCTCAGCCTTCCCTGGCCCCAGACCCCCTTCCTGGGTCTTACACCCACTGGGCTTCTCCGAATTGGGCTCAGGCGGCCTCAGCCTTACCTGGCCCCCAGACCCTCTTTCTAGGTCCTATGCCCCACTGGGGCTTTTTGCCCAATTGGGGCTCAGGCAGCCTCAGCCTTACCTGGCCCCCCAGACCCCTTCTTGGGTCCTATGCCCCACTGGGGCCTCTCCCTACGCCGAGCTCTTCCCGATAATTGCCCACACTGGGCCAGGGTCGGGACACCCCAAAACACAGTGCCCCCTGCGGTGCTAGGAACCCCCCCACCTTACTGGGGAGCTCCTAATGAGGCCTCCTCCACCCCTTATAGCCTCACCCAGTCCTCCAGTGTAATATTACAACCAAAACAGAAACCACAAAGCCCCTCAGCTATAACACAAATCCTAAGCCAACCTGGCTATCCTTCGTCCATATCCCTGTCAGGGTTCTCTCCACCCCGTATCACCATGCCAACACCACTTAAGCCATCCAGCTTCCTTACTGGGCCCACAGAGCTCTGCTCACCCAGCTTGCTCCCACAGAGCTCCTGCTTCTGAGGCTGCCAGAGGGAAACTGACTCTGGTCTCAGCCTTCCCTGTTTATAAAGGCCAGGCCCTGCCCCCTTCCGGTCAGCTGACCCAATTGGTTGTCTCAGCAACCCCCACCTGTGCTGCCCTGGTGAGTGGCAGCTGAGCCCACATTACTGTTAACAGTAGCAGGCACCCTAGTGC